GAGCACTTCTCTAGACTACAATTCGCCAGCCGGAGGCTGGAGATTTTCAAGTTGGGCTCTTCCCGGTTCGCTCGCCGTTACTAAGGGAATCCTAGTTAGTTTCTTTTCCTCCGCTTATTGATCGCATATCCGGCTGGGAGGCGCAAGGCCCTCGAATCGTCGCTGATACGAGTACTTACCCAGCCCCTACGAGCTCTCATTGCCCAAGGCAAGTCCTCTCATAGGATCCCCTCTCGGGGCGGGCCGACTATATCTTAAGCCCAGCACGAGCTGGACCCACCGACATTTAGTCTGTGAACTGCACCCATAGGACACCGGAGTGACCCTTAGGGCTTGGCTGCCGATTGTCTCTATCCCTTAAATTTTTACCATGCCCACGACTTTCGACGCGGTTCCACTGCCTCGGTTTCCCAGACAGGGTGGTATCAAGGGCTTGACGAGATTTCCCGGCAATTTGACGGTGTCGCAGATAAGAGGAACAATCCCTCATCTACTAGGTAGACTCTTTTCAAGCCACCTTTGGTGCACATCTTATCGATTGATATGCTTAAGTTCAGCGGGTAGTCTTGCCTGAGCTCAGGTCGAAGGTGAAGAGTTTCGGGGTGACGTGAAGTCACCATCCGAATTCCTGCTGGGCCCCCAGCAAAGTCCCCTCGGGCGACGGCAGGCTGCGTAGGGAATGCCTACCTACCAAGCCATTGCCCTGCAAACGGGGTCCATGCTCAAGCCTCTGTGCTTCAGCCAACCCGGAGCCCTTCGAAAGAAAGGCAGAGCCGGGAGGGCCAGGTCCGCCATCTGTTCCAGAATTGGAAGAGAGGGCGAGGGTGTAAGCCGACGTTGAGGCAGACATGCCCTCGGCCGAAGCCTCGGGCGCAATTTGCGTTCAAAGATTCGATGGTTCACGGAATTCTGCAATTCACACTACGTATCGCATTTCGCTGCGTTCTTCATCGATACGGGAGCCAAGATATCCGTTGTTGAGAGTTGTCTTTGGTTTGAGTGGACAGGCGGACGAGCCGACTGCCACGATGGCTTCAGAGTGAGTTGAGGTTTGGGGTGGGTTGAGTTAGATACAATTACCGACGCCAGTTACTCCAAAGGAGAATCCCCGAAAAAGGAGAAGCCCGCATGTGGAGAGGGCGTCCGCCGGACCTGACGCTGCGGCTCAGAGGAGCCACAACCAGGGGACCGACGCTCGTCATCTCACCGAAGTGAGACAGCACGAGGGAGACGGGTGGTTACCAGGGTGGATTCGATCGATTCAATGATCCTTCCGCAGGTTCACCTCGGTGAGTCCAGACTGGAGGCTTGATCGCCCTCGAATGGATCGCTCCATCGAGTTCTACCCAGTCCCCTCTAGGCTCTCCTCTCGAATAGAGATTCCTCCTAGAGGCACGCCTCTCGGCGGGGCCCGACTATATCTTAAGCCAAAAAGGAAATGCAATCGATGAGATTTCCAGTTCGACCCGCCCACATTTAGTCTGTGAACTGCATGCCTATGCAACCGATACCACCGATTCGATTGCACTTAGCACTTGGCTGCCCATTATCCCTATCCCACTGGGTTATTACCATACCCACGACTTTCACCGTGGTGCCACAACCAACTTTCATCGATTGGGCGGTACCAGGGGCCTAGCAGGAGTTCCAGGCAATTTGAGGGTGTTGCCTCGGTCGATTGGAGCACCCAATCGAGTCGAGACTAGCAGGAAACCCTTTTCAGGCCTGCTTTTATCCGCATGGCAATGACTGGGGTGGGGCCCTGCGGGGTCCCCACCAACCTACGGAAACCTTGTTACGACTTCTCCTTCCTCTAGGTGGGAGGGTTTAATGAACTTTTCGGCGGCCGAGAGCGGAGACCGCCCCCGGTCGCCAATCCGAACACTTCACCAGCACACCCAATCGGTAGGAGCGACGGGCGGTGTGTACAAAGGGCAGGGACGTAATCAACGCCGCATGGATCCAAACGGTAGGCTCAGACGCCCTCGGAGGCTTTCACCATCGAGTATTACACCGTTTCCCAAGGGCTCTCATCTGATGCAAACAACAGAATCCTCCCAAGGGCTCTCCTCTCGGAGGGGGCCGACTATATCTTAAACTTTACTGATGTTCTCAGAGTTTCAAGCAAACAGAAAAGGTGATTGCCCAGCTGGAAGTGATATGGCTCCACGTCACCGCTGACGTGGCAATATGCTGACGTGGCAGTACACGTGGCATCTCATGCTCTAGAAATTTGGAGGTTCCTTTTTAGCTTTTTGAAGAAGAAGTTCCTGACTTTAGCGAGGATTTAGCGTTTGCTTTGCTTTTGTGTTTGAAACTCTGATAGGGTATCAGTCAAGCCCACCCACATTTAGTCTGTGAACTGCACCCATAGAGACCTACCGTAGTAGGCCCCCTTAGGGCTTGGCTGCCCATCATCCCTATCCCACTGGATTTTTACCATGCCTTCGACTTTCATCGAAGTGTAATCAACAGTTTCCCATTGACAACGGTACCAGGG